TATGTTTGTACAACACATACAGAAAGTCCTAACTATACAGCTGACATACATCCTTTATCTGTGTTACAATATGTTTGTAAAACACATACAGAAAGTCCTAACTATACAGCTGACATACATCCTTTATCTGTGTTACAATATGTTTGTACAACACATACAGAAAGTCCTAACTATACAGCTGACATACATCCTTTATCTGTTACAATATGTTTGTACAACACATACAGAAAGTCCTAACTATACAGCTGATTTATCTCCTTTATATTCGAAAATGTTGATAATTCCAGACAGATAATTCTTGAAGAAACTGTAAAGTCCTTTTAATTTAACACTTGTTTAAAATTCCATCACAAAATATTTATCCATTCTTTACTAAACAAGCAACTTGTATACACTTCACTTTAAAATATAGTTAAATAATATATAGTTCATTGACTGACACCAAAGTTTTACTCCATACCTGTATACACTTCACTTTGAAATACAGTTAAATAATATGTAGTTCACTGACTGACACCAGTCACACACACGATACTTACAGCCTTAGTCTGCAGAGCTCGATTAAACAAGTTGAGGAATGATGATAAGCTGAAGCGATACATTGTGTTCAATTTAGTAAGTTCCAAGATCAGAAAGTACAGATTGCTTCCAAACTGAGCAAGAGGTAGATACCCTTTTCGTTCCTATGGAACATAATACTGTTAGTTATGACTTTTGTATAATAACAAAATTCTAATTTTATAAAGACAAGTAGCGATCAATATATACGTAACCTAGCTAGCTGTAATGATATAGAAAGTCTTAATGGTACAATAAGTATTGAAAGACAACAAAAACTTAAAACAAAATCATATCTATTTTGGCTGAGACTAACATAATTGCAGTGATTTGCCAAAGTAGGGATGAAATTTATGAAATTTAAAATTTTTGTAGTTTTGACTTTTTTGTTTCAATACATTTGTAGCATTAAAACTTTCTATGTTACTATAGCTAGTTAGGTTACGTATATGTCGTTCTCTACTTGTCTTTATAATTTTATATTATTATACTTTTACACGTCATAGAATTTACAAATACATTCTAGTTGTATTATAAAGTTACTGGTTAAATGTCTGTGTTCTAGGATTTATTAACATACTGTGGTTGTATTATAAAGTTACTGGTTAAATGTCTGTGTTCCAGAATTTATTAACATACTGTGGTTGTATTATAAAGTTACTGGTTAAATGTATGTGTTCCAGAATTTATTAACATACTGTGGTTGTATTATAAAGTTACTGGTAATACATTTAACCAGTAACTGTATAATACAACAACAGAATGTTAATAAATTCTGGAACACAGACATTCTGTGTTCCAGAATTTATCAACATACTGTGGTTGTATTATAAAGTTACTGGTTAAATTTATGTGTTCCAGAATTTATTAACATACTGTGGTTGTATTATAAAGTTACTGGTTAAATGTCTGTGTTCCAGAATTTATTAACATACTGTTGTTGTATTATAAAGTTACTGGTTAAATGTATGTGTTCCAGAATTTATTAACATACTGTGGTTGTATTATACAGTTACTAATTATCATTAGCAACTAATGTACACAACATATTAACTACATAGTTGTATTTTAACATATTTTTATGCTAAAATATAAACTTATGACAGACAAGACAGTTTCTGAATGTAGCTACATAGCTATTTAACTTCTGACCTCATCAACTTATGACAGACAAGACAGTTTCTGAATGTAGCTACATAGCTATTTAACTTCTGACCTCATCAAGATATGACAGACAAGACAGTTTCTGACTGTAGCTACATAGCTATTTAACTTCTGACCTCATCTAATGAAGCTTGTAGCTGATGTGACTCTTTTAGTGCAGCTGTAATGCGGGAACTGCTAGATTTTGTTTCGTTTAATGAGGCTATTAGTTCTTTATTTTCTAGGATGTTTCCTTGAGCTGAGGCAAGTTGCTCCAGAAGTGACTCCTCTAATTGGGTGAGCTGAAGCTTCTGTTCTTCCTCTTGCTTAAGTACTTCACTCCTTCTTTCCTCTAGCTGAGGTTTCTCATGTTGCAGAACAGCTGCCAAGAGCTGAAAGAGAAGCTTTCATTCATTACACAGTTGAATTCAATCAATAAAATAATCAAATCACAACATAACAGTTTTGTTAAATATTTCAGAACTTATCAGTAGGTAGAAAATATCTAAGGACATCAAGAAACTAAACAAATTATAACAGAACTTTCTTTGATGATAGTCTTTTCTTGAAGTGAAATTTAAGTATTAACAGCAAACAATAAGAGAACAGCACTTAATACTTGTATACAGCAACACATTTTCATCATTAACTTGTATGTTTTCATCAACCAGGGCTGACCTTAGGGCGAGGAAACTGAGGCAACCGCTTCAGTGGACGAGTCAATTGTACATTTCTAGTATCCAAACTCAAGAACTTAATCTTGAGTACTCACCTGAGGCCCGACCTGACCAGAATCTGATCACATGCAAGCCTTTAAGGTAAAACTTAGAAATAAGAGTAAAAATAAAGTCATTTTATAAAATATTTTCACAACAGATACATGATTACGGTACAATAAAATATTCCAAATGGAATATAATTTATTTATTTATGCTTCTACTTATGTTAACTTGAAACTATTTGTTGCTGTGTTTTCTGCTCACTTTATAACACAGTAGATGACAAATCTTTAATAAGTTTCAAGAAATACTGAAATATGAAGCCTGATCATGTATCCCTGGGCAACAGTACAAGTAACAACATACTACATTCTGTATGGAGTTACATGTTTCTATAGGCAACAGTACAACATATTACATTCTGTATGGAGTTATATGTATCCCTGGGCAACAGTACAAGTAACAGCATATTACATTTTGTATGAAGTTAATGTATTTATGGACAATAGTACACGTAACTCCATATTACATTCTGCACTAGGTATCTGCGAATCCCTATTTTGGAAAGCAGACTGAACCCGATTTATTAAATCAAAGGGTTGGCGAGAATGGGCAGAAATCCTTTTCTGTTTTACTCATAAGGTCCATGAGTGATGGTCCACCATTGAGTGAAATTTACTGATATATAGAAATATATGTATATACCGCTGTGTATGCCACCAGTGGTCTTGTGGAACACCCCATCTCTACAGTGAGCATTATAGCACAATCAGCAAATAGTGTGGGTTTGAGGCAAAGCATACATGACCATGCAGTACCTGCCATAGAGTGGGATTCCATTATCATTGGTTGAAAAAAGAAATGAAATGGTAGGAAAAAAGACTTACCCCAGTCAAAGGCGAATGGAATGGTGTAGAATCGCCACAGGAGGATAACGATATCCACCCGAGTAAGAAACAGCCAGCTCGTGCAGATAATGAGCAATGAAGGTATTGGGAGTAGTCCACATTCTGACCTGAACAATCTTTTCCAATGGACAACAAAGATGAGTAGCCAAAAACATGGTGAGATGACATGTTTGATGAGAAGAAAAGTTATGGAGATGGTAACCTTATGAAACTAGAAGAAACAAAAGTTGTTTGACAAGGTTGCCCAATGGTTAGACATGGTGAGATGACATGTTTGATGAGAAGAAAAGTTATGGAGATTGCAACCTTATGAAACTAGAAGAAACAAAAGTTGTTTGACAAGGTTGCCCGATAGTTAGACATGGTCAAAGAGACAAAAGGTGGAAGGTAGATTATCACCTTTGGTAAATGGACACAGATGAAGGTCTGACAGAATGAGAAAGAAAAGGTGCAACACATAGAGTCAGTTCCTGGGCCGAAGCAATGGACCTGACAAAAACCATGCACAAAGACACAGAGTGGTGACATCTGGATGAACAATGTCCGATCGAGGTTAGACAGAATAGAGACCAAGAGAGGTAAGAGTAGAGGAGGTTGTACAAGTAAAGGATGGAACATTGGGAACCAGGGTTGTGTTGGCTAATACAGAGCCACCAGCAGGACTACACATAGAGTGGTTTCAATTAGGGATAGAACTCTGGAGAGGAATCAAATAGTAGGATAAGCATAGATGTGAAGACACCTCCAATCTCGACTAAATGCATCAACCCCAGAGTTAGTGAGTATGGAATGGAAGACCAAGAGGATGGAAGTTTGGTGTTCCAGTAGGTGACAAAGGCATATATGAGGTGTCCCCAGCTAGGAACACACCCACCAAAAGATCTGTGGGTCAATGGACCACACCATGGGGAAAATCTTTTGGGAAGAAATAATTGATCTACAACCAGATTCAGGGCTCCAGGAACATGGCAAGCTAATATCACAATGCGGTGACTGTGGGCCCAGAAAAGAAGATCCAGGATCTGAAAGCACGGAGACCCAGAACTGAAGAAATGTTGAGTGTGACAGACTGAAATAAGAAGGTGCCAGAAGGGTAAAACTCCTGAAGAGGCGTAGAGTGTGACAACCAAAATAAGAAGGTGGCAAAAGGGGAGAACTCCTGAAGAGGTGTAGAGTGTGACGGACTGAAATAAGAAGGTGCCAGAAGAGGAAAACTCCTGAAGAGGTGTAGAGTATGACAGATCGAAATAAGAAGGTGCCAGAAGTGGAAAACTCCTGAAGAGGTGTAGAAAATGACAGATTGAAATAAGGTGCCAGAAAAAGAGAGTCTACATCATTTTCTCCTTGATTATATTTGAATTATATTATATTATACTATACTATATCATATTTTTCCTCAGAAACATTATCAAGTTGAAACAAAGAGGAAATTGCCTGCTGAACATATGTATCTAGCTCCCTGCAAATTAAGGCCTTTACCTCCTCTGCAGATAAAGTCAAACCTAATACTAGTAGCATTTTCAACTTTAATGGGAATTTCTGTAATCGATACATTGAACTGCGAATTCATACTAAGATCTCTTATAATTAAGTAACAAGAAACAAATGCAAAAAAAAATTGTTGAAACAATTGAATGCAAACACAGTGAAATAAAACTGTTGAAAAAAAAATTTGAAATGGTAAAGAAGCACAATCACAAATGGTAGCCACATGCAAAAAAAAAACACACATCTAAACAACAGCATCAATTCTCAAAAGTAAGAATTGTGAGGGAAGAGCAGAGGGAGCTACCTGTGCCAATATAGTTGGCACAATACTATTGGTGGAGAGTAGTCACATGCTATGTACATGCTCAATAGTGGCCAGAAATTGGTGGGATATATAGACTGGTGCACCGAGTGTGAAAATTTTTTCAGCAATGATTAGAAGCCAGAAAGAAGATTGAGATAGTTTTGTGTGAGAGGAGGTAAGACCATATTGGAAACCATGAATTTATGAACAACAGTACAGGTAACACTATATTACATTCTGTATGGAGTTACATGTATTATGGACAACAGTACTGGTACACATATCTCTCCTGTACAGTCAAGCAAGACCTAGTAATGGTGATGGTGAGTTGTTAGAACTGCACTGAATATATTATTCAAACTGTAAAGTTATATATAGCTAACTGTTTTAAGGTCAACTGATCTAGCATAAGACTCACCTGTCCAGTCAAACCAGCCCTAGTAGTGGTGAAGTTAACAGTAGTTAAAATTGATGAAGCATGAGGAGGAAGCTCAATCAATGAGTTCTGAGTTGTCAAGAAAAGCCGAAAATTTTCATTATAGTCTATTAACTTTTCCCCAATCTGAATGACATAACGTGGTCCTGAATGTACAGTAAACAAGAATAAACAGATAAATGTGCATCAGCAATCTGATGAAAAATAATTAACTTTAAAAGGAAAAATGCATTCATTAAAACTATTTTAGTCTAAAAACACTCTATGATCATGAAAAATTCTTATAACAGTTTTTATATTTTACTTTGTATTAAACTGTTACTTCTCCTAAGAAGGAGTTAAAAGTAAAATCTCTAATCAATTATCCTATATTACATAGAAATTTAGAATTTTGAAATATGTTTTAATTCTATACAGAAGGCTAGCCTTTGATTAAAGACAACAATACTTAACTCAATAAATATTTACAGAGAAATTGATAAAATGATTAAATTCCAAATTTACTTATATTTATCAATGAATATAATTCAAACATATGTCAACTGGCATGCTTTACATAAATGTACCTTGACTCGTGAGATCTCCTCTCAACACTGGGAATAGTATAGGTTCAAGTGTATCTACATCTCGAACGAGTAAAGTTTTTCCAAATCTCACAGAAAGTTCCAGACTGGTCACAAAGTTGTGATCCTGGAGAAAATGTTAAACAGAAATTTCACTAATTCACAATATTAAGTTGGTTCTTCTAATCAATCAAAATTTATGGAATAAACAGTTGGGAACATTCTGAACATGTTGTCTTTATTTGTCTGGTTGAAAATGTGTTTGACCACACGTGTAAGTTATTTAATCAACTTCTAAATTAATTCTATTATATGCTGACAATTTCATCTTTTGTTTACATAAAGCTGTCCTCATGATAAACAACTATCTGTGTACTCTGAGAGGGTGTAAATTTAAGAAATAAAACTTTATAAAAAGTCTTCATTTTAAACATAATTAATACTTAATTGTTTTTTATAATGTGAAGTCATTTTTATGTGGTGGTCAAATTGACCAAGGTCAATCCAGTTTTGGTAGAGAAAATAAAAGAAAATTTTACTGAAAAAACTTTTGATATTCATTTAGACATGCTTATCAGTAATATGACATCTACTGGAGCTAAGCATGGTTGTCAATAAGATGTCATCTACTGGAGCTAGACATGCTTGTCAGTAATATGACATCTACTGGAGCTAGGCATGGTTGTCAATAAGATGTCATCTACTGGAGCTAGGCATGGTTGTCAGTAAGATGACATCTATTGGAGCTAGACATGCTTATCAGTAAGATGACATTTATTGGAGCTAGACATGGTTATCAATAAGATGTCATCTACTGGAGCTAGACATGCTTGTTGGTAAGATGACATCTACTGGAGCTAGACATGGTTGTCAATAAGATGTCATCTAATGGAGCTAGACATGGTTGTCAATAAGATGTCATCTACTGGAGCTAGACATGGTTGTCAATAGAACGTCATCTACTGGAGCTAGACATGGTTGTCAATAAGATGTCATCTACTGGAACTAGACATGGTTGTCAATAAGATGTCATCTACTGGAGCTAGGCATGGTTGTCAATAAGATGACATCTACTGGAGCTAGACATGCTTGTTAGTAATATGACATTACTGGAGCTAGACATGGTTGTCAATAAGATGTCATCTACTGGAGCTAGACATGCTTGTCAGTAATATGACATCTACTGGAGCTAGGCATGGTTGTCAATAAGATGACATCTACTGGAGCTAGACATGCTTGTTGGTAGGATGACATCTACTGGAGCTAGACATGGTTGTCAATAAGATGTCATCTACTGGAGCTAGACATGTTTGTCAATAAGATGTCATCTACTGGACCTAGACATGGTTGTCAATAAGATGTCATCTACTGGAACTAGACATGGTTGTCAATAAGGTGTAATGTGTAGTTTGTACTCAAGATTGACTTTTCTTACTTAAAATTAATTCATTGAGAAATTACCCGAATCAGTACAAAAACCCTTCTAATGTTTTGTTATTATGACCTATGTTTTTAAACATTATAAAACAATAGAGTGAAATAAAAGAGCTGAAAATGCTAAGTTCTCTTACCTGTTGGTTAACTTCCTCAAATTGAGATTCTTTCAAGTGACTTTTTAGCCAATCAACAGCTCGCAAAGATGGGTCAATCAGAAAAGGACACAGTGTGGTCTGTGAAATCAAACAAATGTTAATGTAAGCCAATATTCACATGTAGTTTCTAATAAAATCAGTAAGTTTGACTCTAAAATAATACATCCAAAGTTGTTTGATTAAAGTCATATTGTGACGCTCTAAAAATAAAGAAAGGCATAAAAATGCATGCTACTAATTTTTTCTTTTGGTAAAATGAATCCTCCAGTGTATCCTGTTAAATATTCTGATCGGTACCCAGTTAGCATGGTAGCTTTCAAATAAAGATATTTTTATTATAGAGATTAAAATATTGAAACCAACATCTAAAAGATGATACATGTTTGGTTCATTCAGATAATTCTTGAAGTGACACTAAAACCAATTTCAAAGCTTCAGTACAAATAATATGAGTGGGAAATAATATAAAGCTGATTGCATCACCATCTATCAGTTTTAATATGAACTATAATTACAGGATGTTGTACCTTCGTTGATGCTTCAATACAACAGAAACATCAACCAAATGATTCACTTATTACTGGTGGAGAATTGGGGATAAAGATAATAAATATTTAGCAGTAAAACATTCTTTATAAAGAACTTCAAGAATGATTAGAAAACTATCCCATACGAACAATAAAATATATCTCAAGTTATACATCAAAGTCACAACACAACGAGAATCGGCATGTACAGGATGACAGGGTTCTTAGAGGGTGTGAACACCTTGAAAGTAGATTATCTGAGTTTGAATTCAGCATGAATTGTTTTGTTTGTGACGATGAGTGCTTACCAAAAGACCCTAAGAATACAAACAGATGGAAATGGGTTGCTAAGGCAAAGCTTTGGAGTAAAGCAACATATACTATAAGTCTGTGGTGAAAGCATCAATATTTCAAGCAAGGCCTTACTAGCAGGCCTCTCTCTTTCTATTTTCCATTTTTACATATACTGCTGTCAATCTTCCTCATAAAAAAAAGTCCTTTTTTCAATTTACTCAATTTCCAGACAGTGTTTTCACTTTTATTTTAATATGCCAAAATATAATCTACATGACTTATCTTCTGGCACATGAAGTTACTAATGCAGTCTGGAACATGAATTTAGACCAATTACATGCCCCCTTTTATTACACTTAGGAAGGTTTTAAAGTCAATTCCTCTTTACATTAGAAGTTTTTCCTAGCAAAACAAAATATATCTAGACCAATATGAACAATGGACACTACTATTACTTTATAAATATAAAGGTTATGATATCTTAACATGTGTTTTCTAAGACTGGACATGGGTGCAATCATTTCATACTATTTGATTTACTTTGATACAGATAGATAAACATTCTACACTAACATTTGTATTTCTTCTGATACCATCACTATTAATATTATGAGTTTAATATTTCTATTCCAGTACCTTAATAACATAAGTATAATTTTTCACACAAACAAATTTAAAACAAACAAACACAGAGAGCTCAACCATGCCAGAATTTTGATCAGGACACAAAATAAAAAATCATTACAGCAAAACATAGTCCATACTTTTTGATTTTCTTAGTTGGCATACTAGCTATTATGTACTTCTGCATTCATAACAAACATTAAACTTGTTGAACACATATGATAAGCCTTATTTAGAAGTATTCTGATTTAACTCAGACTACACAAACCTAATCATTACACACTACAAACTGACCACATATGATTAACCTTATTTAGAAGTATTCTGATTTAACTCAGACTACACAAACCTAATCATTACACACTACAAACTGACCACATATGATTAACCTTATTTAGAAGTATTCTGATTTAACTCAGACTACACAAACCTAATCATTACACACTACAAACTGACCACATATGATTAACCTTATTTAGAAGTATTCTGATTTAACTCAGACTACACAAACCTAATCATTACACACTACAAACTGAAACACTTCTTACTGACCACATATGATAAGCCTTATTTAGAAGTTTTCTGAATTAACTCAGACTACACAAACCTAATCATTACACACTACAAACTGAAACACTTCTTACTGACCACATATGATAAGCCTTATTTAAAAGTATTCTGATTTAACTCAGACTACACAAACCTAATCATTACACACTACAAACTGAAACACTTCTTACTGACCACATATAAGCCTTATTTAGATGTATTCTGATTTAACTCAGACTACACAAACTTAATCATTACACACTACAAACTGAAACACTTCTTACTGACCACATATGATTAACCTTATTTAGAAGTATTCTGATTTAACTTAGACTACACAAACCTAATCATTACACACTACAAACTGACCACATATGATTAATCTTATTTAGATGTTTGAATAAAGTTGTTTAAAAATTTGTTTAACAACAAGTAAAAGCTTGGAATGGTCTATCCTTTCATTGGGGGTGTGTCTGTGAGCCAGACTAGTTTCGGAGAATTCCACTCCTCATATCAAAGACACATCAGATCAAACCAAGCCTTTATAATAGTGAGGTATCATAAATTGAAATGGTGTATTTAAGTGTTTTACACTCACAAAAAAGAAACCTATCATTGTATAGGTATTTGAAGAACTTGTAGCATTCTGCCACAACTTAATTCTTCGTACTGTTAGTCGACACTGCACACTGAATCACATCTCACTGAACACACACATTACAAACCTTATTTAGATTTGTTCTGATTTACTGTGAACTAATCATTATGTTTAGCATTTTATTATTATGCTGATTGTGACTCTAAAGATATCTAATGACAAACATAATGCATTAATTAACTCACATAAAAATAGTTAAAGGTAAAACAAGCAAAAATAATTCAGTGATATAACTATAGTATATTTATCAAACTTCAAAAAATGAAATGAAAATAACATGTTAGTATACTCATTAGTTAACATACTACATAATTCAGAAAATATCACAAATAAAAATAAATGGATCTAGTGTCAGACATAAAAATTAATGTAAATAAGAAATGTTTGTTCTTAACCAATGTTTCTTTCTTTTTTCAAGCCACTGAATGATTTCAGCAAGCTTTAATTTCACATTTTAGTCATGAGCTTACCACAGCTGTAAGAAAAAATAATAGAAACATCCAAATATGTTTCATTCTACAATACTATTACATCTGTCGAACAAAACAAACATCTAACAATGTTTCATTCTACAATACTATTACATCTGTCG